CCATGCGGTACTTGCTTGACTGGACTAGGACTGACTGGGACCGGTATTGCTGACTGCATGGGTTTGCACTGCCAACTCGATGCAGTCGCACTGCCAACTCGATGCAGTCGCACTGCCGACGTACAGCAGTTGGGCTCACCGCTTGCCCACTTGCCGCCAAAACGTGAGCAACTTCGAAAGGCCACTACTAGGACCTTCCGGAAGTCTGGGTCCTGGCCTTTCGAAGACTGTAGCAGCTACGACCTTGACCCTTCAGGACTGTAGCAGCTATGACCTCGACCTTTCAGAAGTTCTACAACTACGACTTCTAGAACTCCCTAGGACTTCTACTCGACAGGTCTACAGATCGAACCCCTGCGACCTACGGACCCTACGACAGTCTACCAACTGTTACAAATACACAAGTCACGGGTTCAACTCTCGAGGTCGACACAGATACTGTACACAGGCAAGGTGAGGACTAGGGATCGAGCCCTGGGATCTGCATTGGCTACTGCGAACTGGTGAATACTGTTTCACTCCTTATCTAGGCGATTTATCCCACCCCTCCCCGCCTATTTTGTTGCCCCCTCTGGTCTTCTCTATCTCCATCCGGGTACCCCCTGCAGCGGCATTGGTGAGTTGCCAAGTCAGCAGGCCACGCCAGCAGGACACAGCAGCAGTGCCATGTCAACAACCAGTCACCGCAGCAGCAGGTCAAGTCAGAGCATGGTGCTCACCCGCTCAAAGACGAGCGACATGGATCAGCAGCCAGGCGAGACTAACGAGGCCTATGAGGCCCGCATGCTGGACATGGTAGCAGAATTCAAGCAACGGGCAGCTGCGGCAACATCCGCACGTAAGAAGGAAGATGAGGAAGCAGAGGAACAACGTCGCCTCGCTGAACAGCAGCGACAGGCGGATGTTGAGGCAGCAAGGAAGGCCGCAGACGAACGTCGTTGACTACGCCGAGACAAGCTCCTCGAATGCGAGGGGGATATCGAGGTGATCGCCGGCGAATGGGCAGTGACTGTTGAAGAGGAAGGTGCCCCCTCTTCTGTGTGTGGCCTTGCAACCATAATCGAACATGTGAGCGACTTGGTCGCTACCTGTGCAGCACAGCAAGAGGACATCCTCTGCGTGGACACCCTGGTCCAGAAGCAGATTTGAGTTATTGATGAACTTCTTGACCGGGTATGCCGGCTGGAACAGCAACTTGCAACAGCCACCCCCGCTGGCCCCTCCAACTTGATGGACCGCGTCAACGTCTTGGAAATCGACGTCGAGACTCTCAAGGATGGCACTCTAGCGACAAATCAGCGGATTGACCAGCAGATTTGTGCCGCCGCAGCCAGTCCGACCGCGACTACTCGCGAGAGCATCCCAAAGTTTGACGGACTGCCAATCTTCTGCGATGCAACAAAGACAGACCCGATCCCATGGTGGCGGCAGTTCGAGTTGTTGGACATTCACCACGTCATCAACCCATACTGACACGCATACGTATACTCCCACTCAGGGGGCGCGTGCCAGGCATGGCTGGACAACATGTTGTCCGCGCACAACGTGACTGTCTCTGAGCTGCATACGAAGATCAGCTGGGCTGATCTCAAGGCAGCATGGCATAAGCGGTTCCAAGTGGAGCCGCCCGAGCTTCAGACAACCGAGAAACTTCGACGGTTCTATCAGAACGACCTGCCAAGCACGGACTGGATCACCGAGTACCAACGCTTGGCATCCACGCCCAACTTGCCGTTGACATTTGTCGCTATCAAACACTTCTTCATTAGGAGGAGCTGACCGACGTTGCAGAACGCCTTGAGGCAAGTTGCGGAGACGCTCACCACAAGTGAGCAGCTTTTTGATAAAGCCTCGCAGATTATCGTGACGAACATCGAAGTCAAGAATTTGGGCCATTTGTCTGCTGCAGGCCAGGGCAGAGGACAGCATCGACCGTAAGTGGCCGTGGTCGCAGCAACTACAGCGACCGACACTTCAAACGAGGCTGCCTCTTCTGAGGAAGGAGACAAATTGGCAGCGACCCGGGATGGTGGCCGCCCCGCCAGAGGGCGAGGACGCGGCAAACCGAAGACACACACCAATTCATCCCCCTAGGGCCGGACCAGCGGTTCAAGAGCCTTGGACACATTACGATATCTCGGAAGGCGTGTACCGCATCCGTACTAAGTACCAATACTGCTTGTGGTGCAACAGCACGGTGCACGACACCGCAACGTGCCCCACGCCTGTCAAAGGAAAAGTCCCTTCGGGAAAGTGAGCATCGCCGAGAGTGATGCTGCTGCACTGTCGACGGAATCGGTTGCTTCGCGAGCGACCTCTCTTCATTCTGAGGCACATGTGGAAGTCGACAGTCCTCTCTTGTATTCTTACGAGGACTATGCTGCCCGACTCGTTCCTTCGCTGGGTTCTCAAGCTCAAGGACAAGATGTGTGTGCGGCTTCTTCTCCGTCCGGCAACAGCAACAATGGATCGTCTTCAAGTGGTTCTTCAAGGGATTCGACGCACGAGTTCAACATAGAGGTCTTGGACCCGTTTACGTCTGAGGATTTTGCATGGCTTCCTCTCCTTCCACAGGCTGCTTGCCAGGACCGCAATGCGCAGCACTATGCGCCCATCTCCACACATACTTTGCCTTCTATGCACCACCATCTTTGCCGACGGATGACGAAGTTGTAGTGGGGGATATCCTTGCATATGTTACCAAGGTGGCCCGCGAGTTTCGCATGCAGCGGTACGATGATAACAACGCACCGCTCCTTTATGTCTGCATCCAAGTTGGGCAAGCGTCCTGCAACGCTTTGCTGGATAGCGGCGCGACTCGCAATTTCATCAGTCAGTCCTTTATCCAAAGGGTCGGTCTTGGCGCACAAGTTCGAAGGAAGCCAAACCCGACGGCGATCAAGTTGGCGGACGGTCGGACGCAACAACTCCTCGATCGCTACATTGAAGCTGTGCTGGTTTATTTCGCACCTCATGCATGCGAACCGGTGACATTTGACGTCTTAGACACAGACTTTGACATTATTTTGGATGCCTTGGCTTGCAAGTGCGGATCACACGGTTAACTTCCATCAGCGGACACCTGTCGTTCGCGACCCCTTCGGCGCTGAGGTGCCGTGTACCATTCCTCTTCCGCACTCCTCGATCCGGTGCCAAGTTGTAACGGCCAAGTCTTTTCGGGCCACTTGCGCTTACGAGCGGACCGACGAGATAGGCCTATGTTTTCTATGAGCTGCCTCGACGACCGAATCTTCACCTATGGACTTGTCTTCGGACCCCCGAGTGGTGCGGCTGCTCGACGAGTTCACCGATATCTTCGAGTCTCCAACCAGTGTGGTGTCGGATCAGCCGATCTCCCACGAGATCATTCTGGAGGCCGGTGCCGTGCCGCCGAAAGGATGCATCTATTGCATGAGCGAGGAAGAGTTTGTGGTTCTCCGCGCTCAACTCGACGATCTTTTGGACAAGGGTTGGATCCGCCCTAGTAGCTCACCATACGGTGCGCCAGTTCGCTTCGTACGAAAGAAGAACAAGGATCTTCGCTTGTGCATCGACTACCGCAAGCTCAACGCACAAACCGTCAAGAATGCGGGACCTCTTCCGCGGATTGACGACCTTCTTAAGCGGTTGGGCGGCGCAAAATTCTTCTCGAAGTTGGACTTGAAGTTGGGCTACCATCAAATCTCAATACGCCCGCAAGATTGCTACAAATCCGCGTTCAAGACGCGGTACGAGCATTTTGAGTGGATGGTTATGCCTTTTGGCCTCACCAATACCCCGGCGACCTTTCAAGCGGCAATAACCAACGAGTTCCGTGCGATGCTGGACCGGTTCGTAATAGTTTACTTAGACGACATTCTCGTCTATAGCCGGACATTGGAGGATCATCTTGAGCACCTTCGACGAGTGTTGGAGACGCTCCGCCTTGCCAAGTACAAAGCCAACCGCGACAAGTGCAAATTTGTCCAGCAAGAGTTGGAATACTTGGGCCATTTTGTCACACCGGCGAGCATCAGTCCGTTGTCGGACAATATTCAAGCCATCCAAGAGTGGCCGTAGCCGAAGACCGTCACAAATGTCCGTTCGTTCCTTGGCTTAGCCGGCTACTATGAACGCTTCATCAAGGGATACTCGAAGATCGCGGTTCCTTTATCCAAGCTTCAATGCGAGGACCGACCATTCGACTTCGACGACAATGCGCGGACTTCCTTTTTGGCTCTCAAAGCCGCATTGCTATCTGCGGAGGTGTTGCGCATCTACGATCCGCTTTTGCCGACACGTTTCACTACCGATGGGTCCGGCTATGGCATTGGTGCAGTCCTCGAGCAACATGACGGTTTGGACTGACACCCGATCGAGTACTTTAGCAAGAAAGTGCCCGTCGTGCACTCGATTGACGACGCACGGAGGAAGGAATTATTGGCCGTCGTACACGCGCTCAAGCGCTGGCGGCATTTTCTTCTCGGTGGACGGCAGTTCCAATGGGTAATGGATAACAATCCCTTGGTCTTCTACAAGACCCAAGACACGATCAATAGCACCATTGCCCGTTGGATGGCCTTCATCGACCAGTTTGACTTTTCCCCCGACCACATTACGGGCAAGTCAAACCGTTTTGCGGATGCTCTTTCACGACGTTCGGACCATTGTACCGCAGTCTACTCAACTTTTGAGATTAACGACGACTTGCGGGACAGCTTCATCTGCGACTACCAAGGCGACCCCGAGTTTTGCGACAAGTACGCAAATTGCTCCTTTCCTAATCCGGCGTCATCGCACTATCGGATCCAAGAGGGGTACTTGCTCGTCCACTCGTGAGGGAAGGATCTTCTTTGTGTGCCGCAAGATTTACAGTTGCACACACGGCTTCTTGGCGAGTTCCACGACGCTCCCACCATCGGACACTTTGGAGTCAATCGTACGATTGGCCGACTCCGCGAGCGCTTTTGGTAACCCGGTCTTCTCGACGACATCACACGATATTGCGCGTCATGCGAGGTTTGCCGACGTTGCAAATCCCGCAATCATCGCCTGTACGGCGAGTTGCGACCGTTACCGGTCCCCTTGCGGCGAAGGGAAGCGTTTGCCATGGACATTACCGGCCCGTTCCCCAAGCACAAGACCGGAGTGGATGGGATTCTCACGGTGGTCGACCGACTCACCAAGTTCGCCATGTTTTTGCCTTGCCGCTATCATGCCAAGGCACCAGAGTTGGCCGAGGTTCTTTACGCTGGTTGGATTCGAACCGAGGGTTACCCCAAGGAAATCGTCTGCGACCACGACACTCGATTCATGTCCGATTTTTGGCTGGCGCTCATCAAACGATGGGGCTCATCTCTCAAGCCAAGTTCGGCCCGCCACCCCCATACCGATGGCCAAACGGAGAGGGCGCATCCCGCACAGGTTCTCCTTCGCACTCTCATCTGTCCCGACCAAAAGGATTAGGTTGAGCGGCTGCCGGATGTCGAGTTGGCATACAACTCGTCCATCCACTCGGCTATCGGGATGTCGCCCTTCGAGTTTGAGCACGACTCGCCGGTCACTTCTCCGTTGGACACAATCATTCCACGAACGGCCGAGAGCAACGACCATCTTCTTTTCTTGCGACGGATGCAAGAGCTACTTGTCAAGGCACGCGACCAGATCGCCAAGACGCAGCAACGCATGAGCCAACAGGCCAATCGCCAGCGTCTTCCTTGCCCATTCCGCACCGGCGATCTCGTTTGGGTTTCCTCCGCGGAATTCAGCCTTGAACAAGATATCTCTCGCAAGCTCCTCCCGAAATGGATGGGGCCTTGGCCGATCATGGCACCCGCCAGGGATGCACCCGAAGGACCTTCCTTCCCCACTCAGGCGCCCGCCCACTTGCCCGTCTACCCGGTCTTTCATTGTTCCAAGTTGGCTCTCTACACGCCAGGGGAACATGACGATTTTCTCGGACGACGCTCGCAAGACCCACCCTCTATGGACGACTTTCAAGAGGTCGGCAACATCATCTCCCAGCGATGCTACGGCAACAAGCCAACCGAGTGTTTGGTACACTTTGCGTACTGCAGTCACCGAGATGACCGTTGGTTAACCTGTGCGGAACTCCAAGCAACAGCTCCGGATGTTCTCGCACGCTACGAACACAAGATGCAAGGCAAGCCGGTATCTTCGGCTCCACGTCGCACCCGCATCCACGTTCCACCTTCAGATCGTCAACTTCGCCCTCGCCCCGGCTTGACTTCATAAGGAGGGGGGGGGTGTTACATGCTGCGCCTGCAACAGGCTGCACGGGCCATTTCCAGGCCCGTGACATTTTCAGGCCAAACGCTTGAAAACAAGGACCTACAGGCCCTGTGTCGTTTCAGGCTAAATCAGGGCCTTTCCGGCCCCGAGTGTTTTCAGCCTGAAACTGAGGGCCATTTCCGGGCCCTCGTGAGTTTGGCCTGTCCTGAAACTCAGGCACCCGACTAGGGTTTTAACTCAGGCCATTTCTGGCCTATTTTCAAGACAACCTTTGTTTGAGCTTCAACCCCAGGGTCTGGCACGTTGAGGCATTGCTAAGAGCAGCCTCCTGGACGGGCCAGCACTATATAGGACTGGCCCGCCCTGGAGGCCTGCAGGTAGTTCCAAGGTACTTCCCAGGGACTTCACGTGCACATCAGGAGGCCGGAGGTAGTCTTCAGGATTCGGCAGCAGCACTCTGGAGGAGCGCTGCAGGAGTAGTAGTAGTAGCGTTAGCAGTAGTCTTCAGCACTGGGCGCTAGTAGTGTTAGCTGTAGTCTTCAGCGTTGGGCGCCATAGCTAGAGTAGTACTATAGGGAGAGAGATTGGGCGGAGGCCAGAGGGACTTACCTGCAGCGGCATCGCTCCAGCTTCGTCTTCAAGGTACCTGCARCACAGCGCCACCTTCACAGGTTAGTACCTGGCATATGAGAGAGAGAGTTCTTCTTCTTCCTCTTCTCAGTCCACCATCTCCCTCTCACCCTCTCGACATCTGACTTCACTGCATCAGCAGACTATAAGAGAGAGAGAGAGAGAGAGCTTGGTGACATTTGGATCCAGACTCGACATTGGACTTCAGTCATTTTGACGAGGGATTATTTGGGACTTGTAACGAGACGTGGTGTTGACGACTTTCCCATCTCTCCCCTCCTCTTCGTCTGATCCCTCTGGCATATGAGAGAGAGAGTTCTTCTTCTTCCTCTTCTCAGTCCACCATCTCCCTCTCACCCTCTCGACATCTGACTTCACTGCATCAACAGACTATGAGAGACAGAGAGAGAGAGCTTGGTGACATTTGGATCCAGACTCGACATTGGACTTCAGACATTTTGACGAGGGATTATTTGGGACTTGTGACGAGACGTGGTGTTGACGACTTTCCCATCTCTTCCCTCCTCTTCGTCTGATCCCCTCCTCTTCGTCTGTGCATGGCTGGACTTGGCGCCTCTTCCTGTGCATAGCGCCAGGCCTCTTCACACCTTGTGGTGAGAATGATGTATGTTTAGTCGGCATTGGGACATTGGTTGAGCTCGTCATTAGTATTCTAGCATTCTGCTTCGTTATCATGTACTACGTGAAAGGGGTCAGTCCTGGTCAGGTCAGGACTTGTATCTAAATCTTCCACTGCGCTATAAAACACCATCGCTGTATGTATCAGGATGTACACTGCTTGTTGAGATTTCACTAGCACTGCATTGTCCATTCAGTCCTTTTCATCACATTGTGGATCCTCGGTTATTATGTACATCGCCCATCTGGGCATGTAACACATTGATTGGACATTCGGCAAGGGACTATTTTTGGAATCCGCTATCGCGATCTTGGTCTTCTCCCTCGCTTCCATCTTCGTCTCGCCTCTCCTCCCATCTCTCATCCGTGGTATGTCCCCCATGTGTGTGTACAAGGAGGGACCTTTCTTCTCTGTGTGTGGTCCCTCCCCTCCCTCTCACATGTGTGGTGTATGATGGGATGTCGCGTCAGTCCCGGTCAGGTCAGGACTTATCTTTGAAGTCTTCCACTGCGCTACTTTGTGCCATTTTGTATGTACCAGGATATACATTGCTTGTTGATGTATCACTGCCGTTGCATTGTCCATTCAGTCCTTTTCATCACATTGTCCATCCTTGGCTCCATATGCATTGCCCAACCGGGCATGTATCAGTTGGTATCGGAGCCCCGCACGTGAATCAGGACAAACCGGATTTGACACGTGTGCAGGGACCATTGATCGATTGATCGATTCTTGATTGATTGATTGATTGATTGATTGATTGATTGATCATTGATTGATTGGTCATTGATCGACTGACTGATTGATTGATTGATTGATTGATAGATTAGGTCATACTAATTAGTCCCCAAAATCGTGAATTTTTTACCTAACTGCCGGAAATCAAATTTATTTTTTCTTTTTTTCGGATTTTGCGAGGAATGAGCCCTCGCAGGGCCTTGTCAAGCATGCACATGTTCTGAGCAGAGGCCCCCAGCAAGCCAAGTGCCCGCCCTAAGTGAAGGCGGGCCTGAATATTCACTAAGGCCAAAATTCGTCATTTTTGCACATGTGGGTACTCAGGCTGTTGCAGCCCGCCAATTGGTTGAGTGGACGCGTGAACCTCCCTAAGCTGCGTCATACAGTTTGGCCCAGGCCTTGGCTGTTGCGTCTGGGCACATACACACAATGCAGGGCCGATACATCACGAGGTGGCCACAGGCCTACGCAAAAGCAGCACTGTCGACGTACATACCCCGGGTCTTGTGCAAATGCAGCAAACGGCCCAAGTTCAAAGACTCAGGCCGTGCCCAACTGTAAAGGGCGCAGGCCCTCAACTGTAGCATTGGGCCTGGGCGCAGGTACTGGGGCCCGATCGGAAGCTACTGGAAGCTTCCCAGCCAGGCCACATCCAGCCAAGCAGGGCCTGCCACCTCCATATAGGAAGGAGGGCAGCCAGCGGGGGGCATTCTGACCCATGCAGGCACTGCTGTCACGCTGCTGCGTTAGAGGCTGCGTGCTGCGCCGAGTCCGGAGCGCGTGCGGGCGCGTGTGTGGTGAAGAGGGGCGCTGCTGGGCAGCGGAGCGCAAGCAACCATAGCCAAGCTGCAGGGCGCTAGGGGGTAAGAGGGCGATCGATGGTCTTCAGGAAGGAGGCGAGTGTGGGTGGACAGGGTCTGATGAGGGGAGACGAGATACGTACCTGGTACATGAGAGAGCTATGGTGTTGACGTCATGTTCACTGGTCTTCGAGAGTCGAAGTGAGCCTGTTGCGAGAATGCTGATGTAGGTAGGATAGTCGAGTAGTGTAGGCTGGGCGCTGGGCGCCAGACAAAGAGGAGCGACTTTGGATACTGTGTTGGTGTGGCGTGAGGGCTTGAACAATGGCTCATTACTTCATTGTATTGCTCTTACTTGGATGGGATCTCGATGCATTTGTGCTCTCTGCTTGTACACAACTACTTGGACATCTGTGTGATTTCACGACTTGGTTTTCTGTATATCGTTCCCACTCGTATTCCTTGCAATTTGGTATTGGTGTGATGACCCGTCCAAACATGGACTGAAACACAGCTGATTTCTGAGTTTTGCTCATAGACTGAATGCCTTGCTGATTTTCCCGCCTGCTACTAAGTCTGTGTGTGCACGTTTGCTGGACTGCATGTCTGTCTGAGTGCTGGTTGGCTTGAGTGTGTGTGTGACCATGTCTGTCTGAGTGTTGGTTGGCTTGGGTGTGTGTGTGACCGTGCCTGTCTGAGTG